GACTGAATATGCTGTCGTAGCGCTCATTAAATCCGGAGTCGATGTCTTTTCCGTCTCCGAATTGGATTCAGACTCAGATTCCGAGAAAAAAAGGGATGGGGGCGACGAAGGGTTCCCATCTGCATGTCGTGACGTCTCGACGGCGAGCATGCGCTCTGGGCCTTCTAGCTCGGCCCTAAGCCGGTAGATGGTGAGAGCTGCACGGTCCAAAGAGACCCGAAGACGCTTGAACGAGCGCATCGAAGAAAAATTAAAAAGTGAGCTCAGAAAAGACTGTCTAGTTAATGTCGTCAATACAATGCACAGATCACTACCTGCTCTTTCACTGGAACAAACGTCAGCTTATTACAGTCAGCAATTCGTGGCGACCCTATTACTGCAAAATATTGTCAGCTCCTAGTCGACAATACAATTTAATAGATCGCAAATAATTTCATTTCAAAGAAGGCATCTGACGATTAAACAAAGAAACCCCTAGAATATATTTGATCCCCCTCAATATAAAAGAGCCCTTTTGATAATAGCAAACAAATATTTTCATAATTTCTCCAAATGCATCCCGATTTTTAGTCAAGTGGTTTCCATTTCCGCCTTGCAAGATGTAAGCAATGTTGTTCTTGATAAACTTGTAGAGTCTCTCCATTGCGACAGCTCCTCTCTTTAGATTGATAGCATCGAGATACGTTTCTGTGTTCTTACAATCGAAGATTGGCGGCAATTCTCCTTTTTTGTAGTAGATATGAAACTTCGGAAAATGAGGAACAGTAAGGTCATCACCTTTCTTATATTTCTTTTCTTTCTTTTCCTTGATCTCCTTCGGTTCATATTCTGCTTTCCACTTGTTGTATTCAATTGGATTAGCTGCATCAGCAATAGATTTGATATAAAACTCTGTCAATTTAGGATGATACTTACACGTTTCCCAATCGTTAAACACTCTCAATGCGGCAGCTTGATCAAACCGATCTGTCATTGTCTGTAGAGTACACAAATAAGTTTTACGTATCAGACCAAGATCGACGTGTTGTTTCTTGTATAGCATACTTGCTAAGTTCCAAGTATTATTGTTGTCATAAAACCATGACCACTTCATCAAACAACACAGGTCGTATAGACGATGATCGTAGATCTTTTTTGAAACGCAGTTTTGAGCAACATTCAGCTCGTCAATCATGATTGGTATGTTGATCATCATCTGTTCGCTCTTACAATAGAAATGTCTAAGCGTTTTGTTGCCTTTTTGAATGTAAAAGCAATAGCGATATCCACCAAAGTACGCATTGCTGTCTATCATTTCCGATCCTTTAATATCCAAGTTCTTGCTGGCATTGTATTCGTTGAATGCTCCGATGACATCCATGGGGTCTAAAAAAGTATCGTTTACGTCGAACTGCTTTACTTTGCCCGTTTCGATGTACTGCTCGAAGAAGAACTCGTTTTCTGCCTCTGCGATCTCTACTGCGTAATCATTCGAATTATTTAATTCCGATTTCGAACTTTGACCCTCTTTATACCACGCTATCCGCGATCACCGGTGCGATAATCGACTCATCCAATTCTGGAACTTTGCTTACATCGATATTCGAGACCTCGACGGGCTTGATCGCCAATGGGGCTGGCGTACGAGCAGCATCAGCAATAGCTGGGGTATTTGGTTGAGGCGACATTTCTTCTATTATATTAGTCTCTCCGACAATAATTTCCTCTCGATCAATAATAATCGCGTGCTTGCCGCATCGCTCTTTGTTGCGAGCAAGCTTACACTGCTCCACGTTGCTTTTAATAAAGTTGCACATTTTTCGTATATGTATGACTATGGTTATGTTTGTATATTCTATATAGACTTCGCTTAAGATGGACTCATCACTTATTTATGTATGTCGTACTCAGGAATTTTCAGCAGCCTACGCGTTATCGTTCATATGTTTTTATGATGTCTGACTACTACAATCCTGTAGTATTTACACATTAGCGGACTCATAATTTTTTTATGATGTCTGACTACTAAAATTCCGCACTATTTACACATTAGCGGCATGTGTGATTATTTTGTATTCTTTATCGAAACAGGGGGGTGTTGCTATGTTTCGATACACTTAGATGATTGCTGTGGGCGGCATTGTGTCCGGCTTGCGTCCACTTTTATGTCCATCTTTCTTTCCGCGATAGCAGCTTTAGATCAATCTATATATCTCAGTGTCCAGGTGTCTATCTTTTTTTTGTTTTTTAAAGAATATTAAAATAAGTAAAATGGGGTATTGGGGGTAAATTTAAAAAAAAAAATTCTAAAATGGATTTCTTCCCACGCTGGGCATGCCCGCATTTATCTGAGTTCATAACATTAGAAGTGTTTCATAACTGATATCGTTGCTTCTGATAACTACTACGTAGTAGAATAAAGGGGGCACCTTATCTGATCTGAGTGACGACGCTGGTACGGTGATTGTCATTTCAGAGGTTTTGCATGGGTGCATTTAAATAATGAAACTGTGCGACGACGCCGGGCAGCAGGATAGGAGCGAGCGTAGCACGCAGGTGGCCGATGAGTTCACCAGCGCGTAACTCTGATGGACAAGTCCAGATGCCGATAGCGCCAGGGAACGCGGGCACATTTCCAGGTGCGAGTCCAGCGGGAATGACGACTGCAGACGGGTTGACGCTCATAGCCTGTAGGTTGAAGATAACTGTTGGTGGATCGAGCAGCTTCGCGAGCGCGGGATACTTCTTGCCCAGCTCGTCAAGCAGATGCATGATCTTTCGCCCAAGGTCGATCGCGCGACCGTCGACTTGATGGAGCGTGCCAATGCCCTGCATGAACGACAGCAATGGCCATAACTTGAAAAGATCCTTGTCGATGGTGCAGATCATCACGTCTTCGGGGAAACAGTCTCGCCCGGCGGCCTCGATCT